GGATTGATAAACACGTGTTCGCAAAGATGGGGTGTTGAGATCATTCATCCTGTGAAGCAGTGGGCAGCAACTTTGTTTAGGTGGCGAGTCACATCCGCCACGTCACAATGCCGTTAAGCAGACATTAGTGGCTTTTTATAGGGAAAACGCTTGCCAAGCGATAACCCACTGCATCCTGGAACACTTCCGCTGACCACAATGTATATAAAATTGAATTAATAACTCTTTTGTAGGAGCGATATTCCGAGCAGCTAATCGCAGTTATGGTACAACCGATTTCCGTTGATTCAGCGGAAGGTTTAGTCAGGATTCATCAAGAACGGGAGTAGACAGCGGTACTGTTCGGCGATAGGCTGTGCAGATTGCGGTGCTGCGTTATGCAGGTGAGTGTGGAGCCCAAATAGTAAGCAGTTTCTTTGTCTGAGCAGCCGGTCCAAAGTTTATCAAGAGCCAGTTGCAGGGTCTGGGGGCCATCGAGGTCGGACACGGTGTGCCAACGCTTTAGTTTATCTGCAAACATGAGAGATGGTACCTCCAGCAGACTAGGCAGCTCATTGGCATACATAGAAAACAACAACGGGCCAAGCACCGAACCCTAAGGTACCCCCTGATGACTGGCTGACGGAAAGACAGCCCAGACACTAGGCGAACACACATCTCTCCAGAAGCGTGGTGATCCATTATGTTGCCGGACAGTACATTCCATAGGACCGAAGCTTCAAGGAGAGTCGAGCAAGTGATACAGTGTCGAACGCCTTGTAGCAGTCAACAAACACTGCATCTACGGCATGACCCCAATCCAAAGCATCCGCCCAACCTTTGCGTGCAACTAGAAAATTTGTCATGCAGGAGTGACCCCTGCGAACTATGTGTTGAAGTGGGCTGAGTAGACCAAACTCACGCAGGTGGTTTTCAAGAACCTCCCTGATTAACGTCTCTAATAACTTGACCAGTACGCTTGTCGAACTTACGGATCCGTTTTTGGGAGGGAGATGCTTGTCGCCTTTTTTAAAATCGGGCAGGCGAAAGCAGCCTTCCATTGCTTGAAGAAGGAGCGACTGCGAAGAGATAACTGTAACACACATGTCACTGGGTCACAGCTCGCTTGCGACTTTGTGCACAAGCTTAGGGTGAATAACATCCATTGCAACAGATTTAACATGATTCAGCCCCCGAAGAATACGGGTTACTTGTGCCTCCTAAACTGAGACGTCCATTGAACCGCAATTTTGTGGTATTGTCATTGTCAAGTCAATTTGCTGCAACTGTACCACCTGAACAAAAGTCCCGGCATACTGAGCCCTGAGTGGACATGTTGTTCTTGATCAGTATTGTCGCCGTCGCCGCCCAATGACACTGGGATGGATGAGCCAACGCTATTACACCGTTTGACGTAGGCAAGGAAGCGGTTGGGATTTGCGGGGGCTGAGTTCGCCAGTCCTATCTTAAAGCTAAGTCTAGTGGCGCGTACATGACTTTTGCACGCATTCAGCGTCTCGCGAGAAAGCTGAGATGTAGTTTCTTAGAGACGTGTCCGGTTGATCCGCCAGCATTTCGCCCAGCTATACATTAGCCGGTGTAAGCCGGTGTCCAAACATGATGGTATTGCTTTGGAAATCTTCTTTACCGAAAAAGGGTTGTGTTGGTACTGTATATTAGAGAGCAAAGTTAAGCGTTTCCCAAGCCGTCTGTATATCGTCATCCGGCAAGATGATGCATAAGGAACTTACTGCCTCAGCTCTAATAGACTGAACGTCGGAGTGTCAAAGGTTGGGAGTCCGGATTGTGCGTAAATCTTAGTATCTAATGACAGCACAATTGCATGACAACCATGTATGGTCACTGGCTCCCAAAGGGTTCTTACTCAAGGGCACACAAAGCAACCGACTTAGCGAAATCTAGGTCTAAGGGAGAAGAAGCGAGACGCTCCATGTACTGGTGGGTCAATTGACAAATGCGTGTACGGGTACCTCCAGTGTCAAGTCAATAACTCGGAAACCAACCCTTTTGTCGCTGCTCTCTAAGGTAGCTCATGCCAAGTTACTTCAAGCCCGTTGAAGTTTTCCATTATCAAACATCTGTTTTAGAGTGAGTGCAGATGAAGTCGCTAAAAATACTAGGAGCGCTATCAGGGCTCCTATACAGTTGAACATATTTAAATTGCTTTGAATCAGTACAGGCTTCAATTGCAAAAGCTTCAACAATTTTATCAGCTGAGTTAAAGGTATGTGCTTTTGATATGTTTATATCACATCCGATGTAAAAGGTGATTCTAACTCCTCGGCGATCGGATATGTGGTCAGACCTCAGTGTTGCGGTATTACAGACTTCTGCGGTTCCGGTTCTAGAGACGCAAAGCCCTGGTTCCTCTACCCTGAGACGATGCTAGACTATTTCAGCATCTATCGTTACAGCCCTTTTCCTGCCCATATTGTACGTGCTATTCCAACGCACCGACTAATCCAGTCTGTCCAAATCGGCCTCCTGCTCTCCGAGTGCACTCAGAGTTCTTCGAGGTTACAAACCTTAGTTCGGCTGACCCAACCTTCTGTTTACATCACCTGGAAAGCGTCGCGGGCTACGCAACTCCTTATCAATAAACCCTTCTCAACCCGGCCCTAATCTTTTCTTATCGCGCTTTCTGTTTTTACTCTTTATTTAACTGCTGGGGCAGCTCTCACTGCTCTGCCGTGCTATAGTCTCAACTGACCAGTCTATTTCGGTCTGACTGCCTCCGTGCCACCGATAATTAAGCGGTATTCGCTTTGCAATCTCAACCCTATGGTTCCCTTACATCTAGAACCTGCTAGAGTTGTCTACCCTTTAGTGATATAACACCTTTCTCTTTATTATTGTACGTTGTAATCTTGATGAGCCCACTAATCCAGTCTCACCCGATCGGCCTCCAATTATCCCCATTCACTCAGAATTATGAGACATTAACTCTCTTAGTTCGGCTGGCCCAACGATCAGTTTACATCACCTGGAAAGCCCCGTGAGCTTCTCTACTCTTTATCAGTAAACTCTTCTCATCCCGAACTTAAAGATTTTTATCGCGCTTTCTGTTTTCATTCCTTCTTCAATTGGAGAGACAACCCTCACTGCGCTCCGTGATCTAGTCTCAATGACCAGCCTATTTCTCTCTGGCGGCTTCTATGCTACGGAGACTTAAGCAGTATACGCCCTGCAGACGCACCTCTATGTCTCCCATACATCTAGAGCTGGCTAGGCTTGTTTGCCCATAGTTGTAATAGCCTTCTTTCCCGCCTTTATTGTAGGTTCTAAGCCAATGCGCTGATATTTTGCCCCCCCTTTTTGCCAGATCGGACCTGCTCCTATTTACCCAAACCCAATATACCCCCAACCACCCACTCAAAAATCTCTCCAACATAATACAACCACCACTCACCATATTTCCCCCCCCCCCACACACCCGCCCCCCCCTCAACCCAACCCCACAAAAACCCCCACACCCCCCACCCCACCCACCCAAACCCCCACCCACCCCCCCCCACACCACCCCCCCACCCAACCCCCCAAAACAACCACCACCCCCCCCAACCCCACCAACCCCCCCCAACCCCACCCACACCCACCCCCCCACACAAACCCCCATAACCAAAACCAAACCCCCCATACTTTAACATTCACCCCCACTCCAACCTAAAACCATCCCCACCCATACACTCACCAACAATAACTAATACCCCCCCACCCACCCCTCACCCTCTTTCCCCCTTCCAACCTCACTACAACACACTCAAACCAAATACATATAACTATTTACAACAACATCAAACCCAACCCATTTAAAACTTTTACTCTACACCCAAACTATTCCATAGCTCTTCCCTTTATGCTTATTTAATTGTTTGGTTTTTGCGGTTTCCACAGATACGGTAAACGGCGCATGACGGTTCATCTGGCAATGACTGATCCATCCTCAACAGCCAGCCGATTTGAAACAATTGATATCTTCTCCGGGACTTCAACAGCAAAGTATCATTCCGATGATTCCCATTACCTTCCGAGTGGAGCATTTTTGGCAACTTGGAGGGCTGCCGTATGCACGGTGTCTAAACAAATGGGTTTAACTCCCAGCAAGCCCAGTGAGACAACTTACTCAATTAATTGTCTTTACACGGATAGCTTGTTTTACTATCGAAAAAGCTACCTTTCTCACAATTACCTTATTTGACATGAACCGCTTGCCGCCTTTCACTGGTGTGCGAACAATTGGGTTCGGCGCCTTACATACGTGCAAGAACATTTTAGGACTTCTCTTACCTGGAACTTTCCTGATGGCATATCATGAAGCCATTATTTTAAATGAAGACAATTGCTCTTAACAAGAACACCCGTAGAGGAACGTTGCTCCCCTTCAGTGGACAACTTGTGCTCTTACATTGCCTGAAATAAGGGGTTCATCCCTAGTACGCTGATATTCCACTCATGGTCTGAAAAGCATTAATGCAAACTTCCTGTGGCTTCCGCATTTTTAGGAGGAGTGGTATTTTCGTCGGTTGAGACGAAGTTAGCCACAAGGATCCACTGCACTCTCCACCTGACATGTCCATTGCGAATACCTGGACACGAAGTCTCTATGCTAGGATCAGTGTACCACAAAGAGAAAGCCAACTTCCAGTAATTCGTACCCGTTACACGCCTGCGCAATCCTTCACCTTACGTTCCTGGAAATTTCAGCTCTTGACCGGTTTCAACGATGAATGGCGTACCTGGACTAGACAATTCGGTCAGCCAGCACAGAGAGTTGGAGTCCGCATTAATGCAAATAGCCGAGTGTGTATTTGGTGCGTTACGTACAGTGTCAGTTATACATTACCATTCAATCAGATTGACGGCAGTGTTCCAGCACGTGGTGGGTTCTCTTCTGACAAGCGTTCCCCTTATAAAATGCCACAAAAGGCCCGTTTATCAACGTTGTGATGTGGCGGAGGTAACACGCCACCGAATGAAGTCACTGCCCAAAAACACACTGGCAAAGTACCAGAGGGACCATTTAAATCCCTTTAGTATTTTTTAAACGTGTACACTAAAAAGACACTTCCCTGTTTCTGCCATCCGTGCCCACTCTCTATGGTATACTGGTACAAATTCGTGAACCCAGTCTTTCGCCACATCATCAAAGATGCCGTTCCTGGGCAGTGCACCCGCCAGTTCGGTAGCCACAGTATATGGTGCGAACAGCTAATTTTGTGCAAAGCAACGTGTCTGCTGCGGAACAAGCCCTTGTAAAGGCTTGAGTATGCCAGCTGTGGTGTGCAACGAAATATTAAGGAATAAATTATTTATTTAGTTATTTATAATGCAACGTACTTGACGTCAGAAGACAACCGCTTCAGTGAACGCGAGGACATCAGGATGGAAATGGTTTATTTGGACCCCAAATTCACACATCGTGTTTCGCCGGTTATTCACATTACGAAGCCGGGCATCGGTTGAATGAGTATTAAATAGGTTGCTATGGAATGCTGACATCAATAGGAATCATTTGCCGTTGACTGCCATATGCATACTTTGCTCCTACTTTGCCCATTATTTGAAATGCTCCTAGAGCGACGAGGTTTATTTGGTTGAACTACGCCAATTTGGGTACCTCGGAACTAATAAATAAATAAATAAATAGTTTATTCTCAGTTTCATAGAGACACACCAACGCAGGCATGATCAAGGTTTAAATACAGATGGGTATCACGACGATACATCGGGTTCCATCGTGTGTAGTTGAAAAGGTGTCGGGAAGAGTTGATATGTGAGTCTAGTCGACTTGCCAGTATGTAGTTGTGGGCAGTGACTTTATTCAGTGGCGAGTCACATCCGCCACGTCGCAGTGTTGTTGAACAGACATTTGTGGCTTTTTATAGGGAGAACGCTTGCCAGGCGAAAACCCACCACGTCCTGCACCACTGCCGTAAAGCATTTTGAACATTAATGTTGAACTGGCAAAGCCGCTTGACGACTGGTTTTACTTCGGTTTTTTGCAGCGTAATGGCTTCTAATTTCCTCTGTTAGTTGGACAGGTAATTTGATCGGGGTCGCCATGATTTTTGAGGTCGGTGGAAAATAGGGACATCGCGATTATTCATCTTGTTGTGTGTCCAGGTGAGCAAAAGTTAAACTTTTCCGCTGTCCAGATTTTTCAGATGTATAATGTATCGGAGTATGAAGATATGTCCAGTTCTCCCTACTGGACATGGGTTATGGTGATTGTGGTTCGGTCCTTTCGGACTTCTACCATACTCCAGGTAAGTCCATGTGGGTTGTTGCGTCCGTCTTGGGCCAAAACTGTTCATCAGTCCAATCCCAGATTTCCAAGAAGTCCCGGACCTCAGAGAAAAGGGAAAGTGAGAGACAACCGAGAGATCGCAAGAACAGGCATGGAGTTGAACATTGTTAATGTCTTAAGTTACAACATTTGGGCTTGAGAGAAAAGCATGTACACTGTGCAACAATAATTATGCTGAAAATGTCTTTTGAATATCCTGCAGAATCATTAGCCGTATGGGTGGATTGCTAACGCCTGCGTAGAGACAAGATCGTCGTACAAGTAAGTATAGTCCGAATTATCCGTTTAGTAGGAGCCAATAGTTGCGTGGGGATAAAGCAAAGAGAGTTAGAATAATGATAGTGCTTGTCAGGTGCATGAACAGCACGTAGTTAGCGTAATCCGAGAGGGAGCGCATAACAAGCGAAAATACATAGGTTGCCGCTACAGAGTCCTAAAGATTAATTGGTGGCAGGGCAGCGAAAGGATTGGATGCAAATATTCTAGAGGAATAAAGGTTATTAAGATACAGAGGGGCTCCTAACAAGCATTAGATCCTCGCATATGCATGGGGCCGATGGCCACTGGCTACTTCTGAACAGAGATGCCGAATTTACGATGACCGACAGATGGTGGCGCAGGGAGAGACTCAGTTGCTAGATGCAGCCATTCCAATCAGACGCTTGGTCACTAGCGTATGCCCATAGGGTCGCTCAGTGTTTCAACAGGCCAGTGATGGTAAGTGTTAGTTCAGGTGATAGGTCAACAGACCAGCTGAGCTGTGACGCAAACAATCCAAGAGAATAAACATTGTAAGAAAGGAGCGACTCCTAGAGATCTCCGGATATCCGCGAAGTTGAATGGAGCCTATGGCGACTGACTGCTGCTAAGCAGAGATAGTGGTTCTAGAAAAGAATGTATCAGTGGCTGGGGTAGCCATAAAACTAAGACGTTTGATAACTACTGGATACCTACAGGTTCGATGAAGTAATTAGCATGCGAGCGAAGCTTAGATCGACAGACGGCAGAAGAAAATGAAGGCTGGGGTGTGAGGGAGTGGCTTCTTGCAAGCTACATGGAACCAAAAATGGCTACCTGCTATCAGGAAGAGTCGATGCGAGCAGGACAAACGACACATAACGGCGCGCTAGGGGAGAGAAGAGTGATTAGCAATAGAGTTCGGATTACAATTTTAGTTACTAGTGGATCCTACGATGGCATACAAAAGGTCAGCAAACCATCTGAGCTGTGACGCAAACAATCCAAGAGAATGAACATTGTAAGAAGGGAGCTGGCTCCGGATATCCGCAAAGTTAAGTGAAAGCTATGGTGCCTAGCTGCTGCTCAGCAGATAAATTGGCTCTAGAAAAGAATGTATCAGCGGCTGTTGAAGCCATATCATTAAGACGTTTGATCGCTACTGGATACCTAAAATTTCGATGAAGAAATCAACATCCGAGCGAAGCTTGGCGAGACAGACGGCAGAAGAAAAGGAAGATTTGAGAGTCAGGTAGTGGCTCCTTGCAAGCTACATGGAGCCAACCATGACTAGCTGCTATCAACAAGAGTTGACGCGAGTAAGATGAACGACGGATAACGTCGCGCTACGGGAGGGAAGAGAGATCAGCAGAGCTGTGACGCAAACAATCCAAGAGAATGAACATTGTGAGAAGGGAGCGGGCTCCGGATATCAGCGAAGTTGAATGGAGCCTATGACGACTAGCTGCTGTTAAGCAGAGATCGTGGCTCTGGAAAAAATTTATCAGTGGCTGGCGTAGCCATATTGTTAAGACTTTTGAACACCATTAATTACCTATAGTTTCGATGAAGAAATCAACATGCGAGCGAAGCTCAGAGTGACGGACGGCAGAGGAAAACACAGGTTGGAGTGTCAGGGAGTGGCTTCTTGCAAGCTACATGGAGTTAAAATTGACCAGCTGCTGTCAAGAGGAGTTGATGGGAGTAGGACGAACGACACATAACGGCGCGCTAGGAGAGAGAAGAGTGATTAGCAATAGAGTTCGGATTAAACTTTCAGTTACTAGTAGATCCTACGGTGGCATATAATAGGTCAACAAACCATCTGAGCTATGTCGCAAACAATCCAAGAGAATGAACATTGTAAGAAAGGAGCTAGCTCCGGATATCCGCAAAGTTAAATGGAAGCTATGGTGACTAGCTTTTGCTAAGCAGATATATTGGCTCTAGAAAAGAATGTATCAGTGGCTTTTGAAGCCACATCATTGAGAAGTTTGCTCACTACTGGATACCTACAGTTTCGTTGCAGAAATCAACATGCGAGCGAAGCTTGGCGAGACAGACGGCAGAAGAAAAGGAAGATTTGAGCGTCA